CAGGCACCAATATTATGCTGCCCTGAGAAAAAGATTATTAGCTATTTACTAGTTAACTTGAATTGGTACCTAAGCCCCACTTACAGAATAAATGCAGATGTAATGAAGCAGAAGAAAAAACAAAGGCTCATGAAGTAAAACAAAATGTCTTCCTTCAAGAATCAATATTCCATTATTTCTGGCTCTATGATACACAAATATTATTAATATTTTAATAGCAACTATCATTATCATTTGGAAGAACCACTTAGGGCAAATAACATTTTTTGACATCCCTGTTAATAATGTAGTCTAATACCACAAATGATATATCACATATAAAATTTAAGGCAAACTTTTTTCCCATATTTAGAAAGATGCCTTTGGCCAATGTACAGTTACAATTTTGTCAAATTGCTCAGGATCTTTATTGAAAAAGACAGGTAGAACAGAATTGCATAATGGAAATTTATGTCCATGATCAACAAATGCCTCTCATGTTCATCCATACTTCTCCTCCTCCCTCCTTTCCCTTAATGCCCACGAGACCTCCTAAAACCCATGGGGTTAGCAGTATTACTGTTCTACCAGTCTGTTCTCATCTTAATCAGCCAGGATCTGTTGGGATTTTTTTGTCTTTAAAAAAACAAAACAAAATCCTGTGCTGATTAATAACCAAAGAAAAAGTTCCTATGTCATTTTAGGAAAATTAGTTACAAGTTTCTTTATCAAGACTTACATATAAATGCCATTTATAGGAAGTATTCTTTTTTTTTTAAGTATTCTTAAGATTAAATGTACTTGTGTATTTCTCCTGTGTCCCACAGCTTTAATCCTGAGTCAGGGATTTATAGAATGGTGAAAGTTCTAGCAAAGTAACTAAATAGCCTAAATTAATTTAGGTAGTATCATTTTTGCTTCTCTGTATCCTTTTCCCAAAATATTCTGATCAAATACTTAATTTGGTTGCTCTGTGTAAAATACTGTTTATCTTTACACTGTCTCCACCAAAGGATGAATTAACCTCATGTTTACTTTGACTGAAATTATCAACTTTGAAAGTGCTGAAACATGTATGCCAAGTAGCTTATAACATTCTTTATAAAAAAATATACTGGAAAATACAATGACATTTCATAAATCATGACTCTACAGTTCTTCCAGCATTAGATTTTTGGAACACTGCTCAGAACTCAATAGTAGCATAAAGAAAATTTCTGAAACATACAAAGCTGTTGCTTATTTCCATCTCAGGCTTAATGATCTTTCAGCAAAATACAGTTTAGAAAACTTCAAACTTTTCTACCAGAATATTAGAAACTTTAACTGAAAGAAAAATTTTGTGAAAGGCACAGCAACCAAATAAATTAAATTTCACAGTCAGAAATTAAAGAAAGAAAAAATATATAAAGATGTAAGCAGAAAGAATTTCATGAGAATCTGGTTGAGATGACCTGGGAACATCAAGAAAATATCAAATTATATTCTCTGATTGAGCTAATAGGGAAATATAACACGCTTATTTAACTTTTGTACAAAATATTTTATTCTAAAAATAATTGCTTTGGTGCTTGAAAGAGTAGACCTGGAGTTCAACAGCATAGGTCATTGCTTCTCAAAATGTAATATGCCTACCGACCTTCTCCAAATCTTGTGAAAATGTGGGTCTAGTAGAGCTAAGGTGGGGGAATGATTCAATATTTCTAAACAAGTTTCCATTGATGCTGATAGGCTTTACAGAAAGAGTATAAGAAGGCATTGATTTTTGATAAAATCAGATAAATGAGATGTTACTGTATTTGATTCCAAGTACTTTTGGAAATCTGAAACAAAAACAGACTAGTCACATAAGTTGGCAAGTTTGTTGATATACTTCATTCACTTTGGAAATAAATAATAGCATTATAACAACCTATTTTAATAGTGTGAAACATGTAAGGGGAATAAATAAATTATGCAATATTCAATCCTTCAACCATATAATAAGCATGCATGAGGGAATTTCATTGAAGTCTGAACTTGGTCAATTCTGTGCAAAATTTGAAGTGAATTGTATCATACTAAGACATATTCAATAGAATTCTGAGCTCTCTTAAACTATATTGCTTCATTCTTTCTACATCTGGAGAGTATGCAACACACAAGGCAAGATTTTTAAAGGATTTTTTTTTATTAATGGTGAAACACTGTGCTTTGTTCAGTGCTGAAAAATGAAGACTATGTTCTTTGATTAAAATATGCCCAGGCAATCATTTTCTGGCTCTGAACTATGGCCAGCCACATAAATATGTACATTAAAATAGTCTATAAATAAACTGAATCTGGGAGAAGTTAGATACAACAGTGCATTTGAACTTAGGGATTTCCAGCCTTGACAGGCATTTTACATATTATGTAAATTTTTGACCCTGCAAAACTCCTTTTTGTTATGTTTATAAAATATTCATATCCAGTGACATTAATGTGAAACTTCTCTGACCTTACCAACTCTTCCACACTGAAAATGTGGTTCTAGATGCATTATTGCCTATTTGACCCTTTCTCACTTCTCAATAAGCTTTTACTGAGCGGGATATTTCTTGGTTGCTTCAAACAAGCATTTAATTTCAAATGGATAAACTAAGTTATCTACTAGTTTGATATGGATAGAGTGTTTGTAGAGGTGTGAGGGGGCACCAGATAAAATTATAAATTTTATTTTTTAAAAAGATATGACCTCAGGTGTTCCTTCAAAGATCAACAGTGTTCCTTTAAAAGGCTGTAAAACTTTATAATGGATAATAAGGAATATAAGTTCATGATTCAAAATAATTTACAGGTGATTTCCACATTTACTATTACTTTTCATTAGAAAAGGTCAAGACAATATAGACAATAATATAAACTTGATACCTATAAAAACCTTCTAGTATTTTTTCCCATTTGCCTATGGAAAATAAAATTATATTTAATGAAGCATGTGCTGTGAAGCTATAAATGAAGCACTATCTATGGTAACCAAAAAATATATGAATGATTTCTCAGTAAATTGTTTCTTTTTTATTAAAATGAAAAATAATTCAAGACCTCCCCCAAAATGGCTAAATGTTTAAATGGTATGTTATTTAGTGGATTGAGTCTGTCCAAAAAAGATTTTCTAGGAAAAACAATTAATTGATACAAATGCAAGTGCAAATCTGTCTTTTTTTAAATTTTAAAGCATATTGTCCAAAGTTTTAGCTTGTGTGCATGATATAAATTCTATACATTGTTTTCTCAGTGACAATAAAAAGCATAGTTCATTAAAAACTGAAGTAAAAATTAAAATAAAATTTAAAAATTGGTCACAGTTTTGTCATTGGTATATGGAGATTGTTCCAGGGGCCCATCCAAAGCTCTTCATCGTCTGACTGTGTGGGGTCACTATGAAATTCCAAAGTTTCCTTGATATTCTTACTGTCAACCATGGACTCCTGTTCAACTGTGCTTTTCAGCCTGCTCCCCAATGGCTTCGCTGCCATACTGTCAGTCACCACAGGGCAAGGGGCAAATGTGACCAGAGTTGGTCTTTTGTTCATTTTCTCCATAGAAAATGGCCCCTTGGACAACGTGTTCAGGGGAACATTCTCCTCCTGTGTCACTACCAACTTGTCTAACTTCTTAAAGTGCCTCCCAGTTCGGACAGGGGAGGGAACTTTTAGGTTATCTGTGAGGCAGGCACGGCGGGTTCTCACCACAGAACCATTCTGTGCAATATATATATTGCCATTGATGTTACTGTGGATAGCAGGATTGTGAAGACGGTTCCTCTGACACTCAGGAGCACTGTCTTCTCCAGTTGAGCTACTTTCATACTCTCGATCAACGACTAACTTGATCATTCTTTTTCTTGCCCACTGACAAAAAACAAAAAAGCCAGTATGTTAGTCATTGTCAAAGGAACTAAAGAGACACAGATTATAATGCCTGTGAGATGCAAAACAATAATATTTAGAAAGCTAAAAAAGCTTAATAAGTGAAAAGAGGTATAAGGAAACAACTCTTTATTCACATCAGTTTGTTTTCACCAATTGCTTATTGCCTTCAGAGTTTGAAATGCTTGAACAAAGCGTTGCAGAACTAAGAAGTTGACATTCTAGGAGACATATATTTTCTTTTATATTAAACTACTGTTCTACAGACAAAGGAAAGTATATTATCTACATTTAACTAAGGATTTGATTCATTGCTTTATAGATACTATACTATTTAGGAAATTTAAACTGAAAGTAGTGAATGGCATTCGTTATGTTCCACTCATATAATGCCTGCCTTTGTTCCCAATATTTTAAAGTTTTTTAAAACCCACATGATTTTAGCTTGTAATTCATGCAGTATAGTTAGCCAAAATTTTTGTAAATTTAATGCATACGTTCACTTGAAGTATCCTAATTTTCTAAATCATCCTACTTCCTCTTTAAATTCTGTAAACATAAAACAACATATCTTCCAAACATTCATAATTTTCTTAGTAGTGCACAAAAGCAAAAGCTAGGTATTTTAAACTTCTCCTTTTTTGAGCAATTGGAACACAATTTACATTTTTACCAATTCATTTTTCTGTTATCAATCAGCATGAGAAATAGCAAGGAACAAAAGTTAAAAAATATAATATTTCATTTCTGGGAAATGTGAACTGTCAATACTTAGCATTGTGTAAGCCATGATTTCTGATTTTCAGATGCATATTTTAAAATTGTTGTATTTCCTTATCCCACCAAAACATTATAACTGTTACAATTAATTTTTAAATCCACTTAGCTCATATCCACAGCAAAAAATAATTGTAATGACTTTGAATTTTTAAAATTTTGTTTAATCTAACTCTTAATATTTGAGAATGTCAGGCACAATTTTATTTAGACATGTTCATAATATTTTTGATAATACATTGGCAAGTGAAATGTACAAATATGCAAAAGCAGAATATTAGTGATATGATTTGTTTTACCTTGACTAAATATTTTGCAAAGATGATGGATACCATCAAATCTATGGATGTGTATATTCATGTCACCCTATTCAATAGATAGGTATCACTTATGATACAAAATGCCACATTGCCTTAATGAAAATTCTGCTGAAAAGCGGTAAATACTGACTAGCTTATTGCCTGTTTCTAGTTACTATTATAGGAAGAATCAGTCAGTTTTTTTTAGTCAGTTTTAATCTAACATATTATAATGTACAAATTTTTGGACAGCATATATATTCTTTTTTTGGATATGTTTATGAGTTTAAGTCAGATCAAAATTATTGTGAATTTCCTCCCTTTGAAGAGTCACTTCAGAGAACACACAGAAGGCACTGCACACAAGAGCACTCATCACTGCAAAACTCCCACCTCCTGTAATTTCTTTTAAAGTGCTGTGTTATAGCCTTTGGAGTTTGCTCCTGGAGACTTCTTTTGGTTTGCATTCTTGCTTCTGTCATATTCTGGCATCTGAAAGCCCCAGGGACCTCCAGTCTGACTTTCACTACTGCTGCTACTACTGGATAATTCTGATTCCTCTTCACTTTCAATGCTTTGTTTCACTGAAGTTGATTCTACACTACCTTCCTCAGGGACACCTTGAGCTTCAACGTCTGTATATTCTTCCATGGGAGCCAACTCACTTTCCTCTTCTTCTCCTGGATGTTCTTCTTCTTCCATTGGAGGTTCTTCTTCTTGCTCTTCAGGTGGCTCCTTTTTTCTACCTTTGACTTCCTGGACCTCCTCAACAATGGGCTTTCTTCTTGCTAGCACTATGTTTTTCCTTGCCTTTTCTCCTTCTGACTCTGTGGATTCTGATTCTTCTGATTCAGGGGTGGAACTCTCCTCCTCCTCAGAGGGAGTTTCTGACTCAGATTCCTCTTCTGTAGTCTCAGACTCACTGAATTCAGATTCCTCTTCACTGTATTCAGTGTAGTCACTTGAGGATTCCTCCGATTCTATCGTGCTTTCTGTTGCTTCCTCTTGGTCTAGAGTTAGTTTCAAATAATCTTTATCTTCTTCTTCACCTTCAAGGTCCATGATGCCCCTTTTATCTGCTAGTCCTCTAACTTTTTTAAAAATCATTGGGAATATTCTGGCTCTCTTCCATGTTGTGTATGAAGGTTCAGCTGCTGGTGGCTTTTCTATAGTTACAACTACTTCTTCCTCACTAGGTTCTCTAACTTCAACTTTTGGTTTAACTTTCTTTGGCTTTTCCTGAAAATTGTGAAAAATGCAATAGAAGCGTCAGCTTGGGAATAGTTATGGTATGACCTTGTCCCATATAAGTGAAAGAGAAATTATTCTACAGGGTCACAGTTTTAGGCAAGTTGTATAACTGGTTTTAGAAATCAACCACAAAATTCTCCACTGCCTCTAGACATAAGGATGATTAATAAAGAGTAAATTATTTTGTTTTTTTCATACATTATGATACTAAAATCTAATGATTTCTCATTTTTAATGTTCAAAATTCCTTTTGTATTTTATATCAATAAAGAAATAATTGATCACTGTCTCTTCTCTTTCCTATCCCTAGATTTTGAATAATAGCTTTGTGTATTTGCTTTAGATTAAGTCTAGGAAATCTTTAAAATCACGAACATATGTTAATTTATCTGAAAGCTTATGTGAAATTTCAGTATTTTCATAAATTTTTAATAGGTTAAATCTACAGTGAGTTGCATTTTCTTTGTTGAGGGGAAAGGTACCATTTTCCAAATAAATACTGAAGTTAATGTGCAATAATTTGACAGAAATGATACATGCTAATTTAAACATAAATTTCATAATGTATAAAAATATCAGTTAAATATTTTATTTTCTTCTTTGATAATTGAAAAAAATAAAGACTACATTTTTCTTGATTTTTAGATGTGGTGGTTAGTGGACACTATATGATTTTTAAATATAATTGATTATAATACCATCTCTATGAAGCAACATTTAGGATTTTAGAAGCACAAATTTTATTACAGTTTTTTTCTATATGTTTAACATTTAGAAGGAAATAAGTTAAACCATTAAAAACTGATTTCTCTCCATAAAAAAGAACATAAAATAGACAGTATTGGTTAATTTCTATGGAAAACCATTATGAGTAAATAAGATTTTTTAAAATTGGAATACTTTATAGTACCTTAGTCAAATAGGATTGGAAATATTGTTCTTGTATTACTATCTCATATAATAAAATTATAATAATTACCTCTTCCTCTTCATATTCCTCCTCAGCTTCACCAACCACCTCACCATATTCCTCCTGTCCAGCTGGTGGTAACAATCGACGACGACTTCCATACTGAGGCATTTCATACCTGTAATATAAACTACAACTTAAATATCTCCTCATGCAGTCTGTGTAGAATCAACCATGAATGAGCTCAGTTTTCTTCTTTTTCTTCATCTTTTAGTGAACAGATATTTATACAGCATCTATTAAACTTTGTATATTAATTGCAAATCTATAGATCAAGAACTACCACCTGATGACCAAAGGCTTTTGCCATAATGGTATCCTCGGATAACAATAAAGAGACTTGAATTATTTCAGATATATGTTTTGGGAGAGACTATATCAAGGAAAAAGGAACAATGCTCCTTAATTAACTGAAGAACCCAGAGCTCTAGATAGGTTCTCTCTAAAAGTGTAGTAGTTCATTCAGAATATAAAGTCTATTTATTTATGATAAAAGTTTGCTTGAAAGATGGTTTGCAATAGTGTTAATATTCATCTGCTATAGTTTTTTTCTTTTAAAGCAATTACCTTATGTGTATACATGTAATGTTTGGAATACATGTTACTAGATTCTTAAGTATAATTTCTGCTTCTTAATTTCTCTTAGGTAAAGCTTTAGGAAGACTAGTTAGGAAAAACATACTCATCATAGGAAAGAATTGGTGAATTCAGGAATTGAGCAAATATGTTGACTTCTGTACCCATTTAAAAAATTTTGAATAAATTTTATCACATTTTTAGAATTATGATCAATGCCAGTATAGAAAAATTGCTAAAACTTGACCAAAACTAAAGGTAGATACATTACTCATTTTTCAATACAAAACTAATAGTTTAAAAATAAATGTTAACAATAACAGGTTAATAATGACTTATCAATTACAAATTATTACAATTAGATTCTGAATAAAAAAATCTGAAGATGTACCCATGCTCATAACTGTAATAATCTTGTCCATATTCCTGGCCAGGATCAATCCCAGACTCCATGGATAACTCCTATTGTTCAAAGAGAGAAATTGCATTTGAAAACAAATTCTTATCACATTTCAAAGTAAGAACTCCACACCTAGAATTTGATGACTCTCAAAACACACCTGCCAAAACAACTTAAATTATACATGTTAGTTAAACATGTTCATTTTTTCCCGGCCACAATATTTTACACAAAATAAGGTTATATTTGGGGAGGGGGAATTTTCTTCGTTAAAAATATGAACTTTTCATTTGGTCATGGATAACATTTAGATTCCAAAGGAGAAAAAGGATGGAAACCACTCACTCAAAAAAATAATTCAAGTGGGAAATGAAGAAAATGGATACCCATTTCCTGACCACAACAAAACAATGATAAATGTAATTAAGGAACTCATCAATGTCCACAAAACTACCCACAAAGAAGAAATCTGGGAAGAAATCTCTGAAAAATTCATGGAGAAGATATTACACATGGTTAACCACAACGTACAAGATGCACTCAAGAAATTTCATGACACCAAATATAAAAAAGATGAGATGACACAGAAACAAGTAAAGGAACTCAGAGAGAACCTCAATAAACAACAAAGTAAAACAAAGGACACTATAAAAAGAGAGATACATAAAAAGGACAATACAAATAATAAAAGAAGAGTTGAAGATAGATATGGAAAACCTCAGAAGAAAGACTCAAACAGAAATCCTGGAAAGAAAAAGTCCCTATAGTCAAGCAAAAAACTCCAGCACACTAGAACAAGTAGAAGACGAATCTCAGAGCTCAAAGATAAAATAGAAATTAAAGAGAAACAAAAGAAATTATAGTCAAACAACTAAAGAGCTGTGAATGGAATTTGCAAGAAATCAGCAACTCTATCAAAAGACCAAACCTGAGAATCATGGGCATTGAAGAAGGAGAAGAGGTGCAAACAAAAGGATACGTAACATAGTCAATAAAATAATAACAGAAAATTTCCCAAATTTCAAAAAGATTTGCCCATTTAGGTACAAGAAGCCTCCAGGACATCAAACAGACCTGACCAAAATAGAGTCTCCCCATGGCATATTATCATTAAAACAACAAGCACAGAGAACAGAGAAAGAACACTGAAGGCCGTAAGTGAGAAAAACAAATAATATATAAAGGTAAAATAATCAAATAACAGCAGATTTCTCAACAGAAACCTTAAAAGCAAGAAGGGCATGGAATGAGATATTTCAAGCACTGAATAAAAGTAACTTCAACCCTAGGATACTCTACCCAGCAAAACTATAATTCCAAATTGATGGAGCAATAAAAGTCTTATATGATAAACAGAAACTAAAACAATAAATGACCACTAAGCTACCACTATAGAAGATTCTACAAGGAATTCTGCACACAGAAGATGAAAGCAAACAAAACCACTTGAGGAAGCATCAAACCACAGGAGAAGAAAAGACAAGCAATCAGAGAGTAGCATGGATTCTAACGCACATAATCAAATCCTTAAACAATAAAAACAACTAAATGGCAGGAATCACCACATACCTATCAATATTAACACTGAATGTTAATGGACTTAACTCCCCATCAAAAGACAATGTTTGGCAAACTGGATCAAAAAGGAAGAGCTGACAATCTGTTTTTTATAAGAGACCCATCTTCTTGACAGAAATAAACACTGGCTTAGGATGAAAAGCTGGAAGAAGATTTACCAAGCCACTGGTCCCTGAAAACAGGCAGGAGTAGCAAGACAAAGTAGACTTCAAACATACATTGGTCAAAAGAGATTAAAAAAGGACACTTTATACTAATAAAAGGTGCAATACATCAAAAGGAAATAACAGTCATCAACTTATATGCACGCAATGTCAGTGTATCCAATTTCATCAAACATACACTAGAGAACTTAAAAGCACATATAGACTCCAACACAGTGGTAGTGGGAGACTTTAATACCTCTCTATCACCAATAGATAGATCATCCAAACAAAAAAATCAACAAAGAAATCCTAGAACTAAATGACACCATAGATCAAATGGACCTAACTGATGTCTACAGAATATTTCATCCAACAACAACACAATATACATTCTTTTCAGCAGACCATGGAACTTTCTCCAAAATAGATGATATCTTAGGGCACAAAACAAGTCTCAGCAAATAAAATAGAAATAATCCCTGCATCCTATCTGATCACAATGCATTAAAACTAGAACTCAACAACAAAACTAACAGCAGAAAACATGCAAATAATTAGAGGCTGAATAATACATTGCTCAATGATCAGTGGGTCATAGCAAAAATAAGAGAGGAAGTCAAAAGTTTCCTGGAAGCTAATGAAAATCAAAACATGACCTACCAGAACCCATGGGACATAGCAAAGGCAGTCCTAAGAGGAAAGATTATAGCCATGAGTATATATATTAAAAGGACAGAAAGATTTCAAATAAATGACCTAATCTTACATCTCGAACTCCTAGTAAAACAAGAATAAACAAAACCCCAAACAAGCAGAAGAGAAATAATAAAAATAAGGGCTGAAATTAATTAACTAGAGACCAAAACAAACAAACAAACAAACAAACAAAAAATACAAAGAATCAACAAAACAAAGAGCTGGTCCTTTGAAAAAATAAACAAGATTGACAAGCCCCTGGCAAATCTTACTAAAATGAGGAGGGAAAAGACCCAAATTATGAAAATCAGAAATGTAAAAGGGGAGATAACAACCAACACCACAGAAATCCAGGGAATTATCAGAGAATATTTTGAGAACCTGTATTCCAATAAATTGGAAAATCTTGAGAAAACAGACAAACTTCTAGATACTTATGATCATCCAAAACTGAACCAAGAAGTATTAACCAACTAAACAGCTCTAGAGCACATAATGAAATTGAACCAGCCAAAAGTCTCCCAAAAAAGGAAACTCAAGGACCTGACAGATTCTCAGCTGAATTCTACCAGAACTGCAAAGAAGAAATAATACCAACACTCCTTAAACTTTTCCATGAAATAGAAAGGGAAGAAAATGGCCCAACTCATTCTATGAAGCCAGCATTACACTCATCCCAAACCAAAAAAGGACACATCCAAAAAGGAAAACTACAGGCTAGTCTGCTTAATGAACATCGATACAAAAATCCTCAATAAAATAATGGCAAACTGAATCCAACAACATATCAAAATAATCATTCACCACGACCAAGTCAACTGCATCACAGGGATGCAGGGATGGTTGAACATATGCAAACCAATAACTGTAATATAACTCATTAATAGAAGCAAAGACAAAAACCACTTGATCATCTCAATAGATTCAGAAAAAACCTTTGACAAGATTCAATACCAGTTCATGATAAAAGTTCTTAGAAAACTAGGAATAGAAGGAATGTACCTCAACATTATAAAGGCTATATATGACAAACCTATAACCAACATCATACTTAATGGGGAAAAACTGAAAGCACTCCCCCTAAACTCAAGAATGAGACAAAGGTGCCCACTCTTCCTACTCCCATTCAACAAAGGCCTGAAATTCCTAGCCATAGCAATAAGGCAGGAAGAATAAATAAAAAGAATACAAATGGTAAAGAAATAGTCAAAATATCGCTGTTTGCAGATGACATGATCCTGTACCTCAAAGATCAAAAAAACTCCATCTAAAAATTTCTAGATACCATAAACAGCTTCAGCAATGTAGCAGGATAAAAAATCAACCTACAAAAATCAGTAGCCTTTCTACACACCTACAATGAACAAACTGAGAAAGAATACAGGAAAACAATTCCTTTTACAATAGCCTAAAAAAAAAATCAAATACCTAGGAGTAAAGTTAACAAAGGATGTGAATGACCTCTACAAGGACAATTACAAAATCCTGAAGAAATAGATTGAGGAAGAATACAGAAGATGGAAAGATCTCCCATGCTCATAGATTGGTAGAATCAACATAGGAAAAATGGCTATACTACCAAAGCAACTTACATGTTCAACACAATACCCATCAAAATCCAATCACATTCATCAGAGACTGAAAAATCTACCCTAAAGTTCATTTGGAAACAAAAAAGACTGCAATTAGCCAAGGTAATTCTGAGCAAAAAGAGCAACAATGCTAAAAATATCACAATACCCGACTTCAAACAATATTACAGAGCCATAGCAGTAAAAAACAGTATGGTACTGACACAAAAGCAGAAATGAAGACCAGTGCAGCATAATAGAGGACCTGGATATGAATCCACACAGCTATGCCCGCCTTATTTTTAAAAAAGGTGCCAAAAACATATGATGGAGAAAAGAGACCCTCTTTAGCAAATGTTGCTTGGAAAAGTGGCTGTCTGCCTGTAGAAAACTGAAACTAGATCCATACCTGTCACCCTGTACTTGTATCAACTCAAAGTGGATCAAAGACCTTAATATCAGACCTGAAATCTTGCAGTTAGTACACTAAAGAGCAGGGAATACTCTGGAAACAATAGGTATAGGTAAGGATGTCCTCAGTAGAACTCTAGCAGCCCAGCAACTAAGAGAAAAGATGGATAAGTGGGACTCTGTGAAATTAAAAACCTTCTGCACAACAAAAGAAATGGTCTGTAAATTGAAGAGACCACCCACAGAGTAGAAGAAAATATTTGCTCACTACACATCAGACAAAGAACTGAAAACCAGAATATACAGTGAGCTCAAAAAACTAAACTCCCCCCAAATCAATGAACCAATAAAGAAGTGGTCAATTGCATTAAACACAACTTTTTCTAAAGAAGAAATTACATGAAAAAATGCTCAACATTCCTGGCCATAAAGGAAATGCAAATCAAAACCAAAATAACATTCCACCTTATCAAGAATACCACCAAAAACAAATGCTATCATCAACAACAAATGCTATCAACAACAAATGCTACCATCAACAAACGATACCAACAACAAATGCTGGCAAGGATGTGGGTTAAAAGGAAGCCTCATGCACTGCTGGTGGGAATGTAAGCTAGTACAACCACTTTGGAAAACAATATGGAGGCTTCTTTAAAAATTAAGCATAGATCTACCATATGATCCAGTAATACCATTCTTAGAAAGTAGCAAAGAGGTCTGGTAGAGATGAACCAATGTGGGTTGCAATACACAAGTGTATGAAAGCAATGCTTGGAATTTTTCTATGTAGCTATCTGTATTTCAAACCAGCAAAAAACGATATGTCTTTCTTATTACCTCTTATGTTTTCTTTCAACAAAATTGGAGAAGAAGGCAGAACACGTTTTCTCTAGAAGCAGGAGGGTGGGGAAGAGGGGAAAGGTGGCACAAACAATGTAAGTAAATGTAAAAATGATAAAATAAAAGAAGAAAAGAAGAAAAAGGAATCTAGGTGGTAGTGTAGTGTATTCTCTCTTGGTGACAACATCTCTACCAACCATACTGTCCTGCATCTAGAATCTGCCACCTATCTTGTTTTGATTTTAAAAACTCCATTCACTTAAATTACATCACTGATTTGTACAGTTATTTGAGTTTGCAGTTCTTCTGCTACAATAACATACTGCCTGATGGCTTTGAGGTTTAAAAGTACTTTGCAAATCAATTTCAGAGGAATCCAATTGTGATGTCAAACCTAGTTCAGCTTGCCAGCTAGAGTAACTGAAATTTAAAAAATAATCAGCAACACCATATGTTGGTGGGGACGTGCAACAACTGGACCTCATAAAATTTTGGAATGATAACAAATTGGTTAATTCAGGAAAATGTTTGGCAATAGTACTAACATTAAATATAAGCAGCTCTATTTCAAAGAAATTCATTTTATAGCTTTATATAAAATGGAAATATGTACATTTCTGCACCTAAATACATTATTAATAATAACCAAAACTAGAACCAATGCAAAAATCAGTGAGATACATTATTATATCCCACAATGTAGATGTATCTCACGAACAGAATGATAAGCGAGAGAGAGCAATTACAAATTAGTCACACTGTATGACCATCTGATCCTGTTAAATGAACTTTAAAAACAGACTAACATGTGCCTGTGTGTGTGTATGTGTGCACTCTTAAAAATTCAGATGTGCTGAACAATGTGTATGTTCTTGTATCTATAAGTATCATTTCAATAGAAAACTTCATTATATGAAAGGAGCAAGAATGAGGTAAATAAAGACCAATAAGAAATTAGAACAAAGCTAAAATCTAGGATTAAATTGTCCAAAATAAGTAGTTAGAAAAATATATTGGCCTCATACTGGTCAGCTTAAACTTTTGAGCAGTCTAACACCCTGTGTAATGATATTTATTTAAGTGAAGCAAATGTGTCTCAGAACTAATAATTTTACCCTTCTTGGCAGAGGCTGACAAAAGATCTTCAAATCTTTCTACTTGAAATTTTAGTTACTTTTAGTAGTAATATAGATATGTATTTTCCTAAAGGAAGAAGAGTGATAGTAACAATATGTGTCCAGCATCAATTTGTCTAAAATTATATTAAAGGATAGGTAGGACTGGTATATGAATGCAGGAAACACAGCAAGATAGCCTCCATTCAACCAGTCACTCTGTACTTCTGAGCTGGAAACAGTGGGATAGGAACCAGCAGAAAAGAATGACTTGAAGTGTAGCCAGGTGCTGGTGGCTTCCACCTATAATCTTAGCTACACATGAGGCTGAGATCAGGAAGATCACAGCTCAAGGCCAACACAAATAATGGTTCATGAGATCCCATCTCCAAAATAATCAGAACAAAATAAACTCAAGGTGTGGCTTAAGTGGTTGAATAGCTGCTTTATAAGCACAAATCCCTGAGTTCAAACCCCAGCCCCACCAAAAAAATGACCTAAAGTGTGTCTTTTGGATGCTTATACCACCCATGAATAAAGATCAGAATATCATACCTTAAAAAGAAAAGAAAGAGAGATACAAAGAACCTAATGTAACCATTGAGACCCCTGAGTTACTCTACACACAAAATAAATGCTGGCCTTTCTTTCTGTATCATACAGTCCCTGTAGGCATCCTCTCATTGGTAAATCAGAAATTTTAGAAAGCTATGCAAAATAGCATACTAAAAAGTTTTCTCATAAGTAGATCCAACAGTTAATGTTATTTTAAAAACCCATTTTTGTTGGTCACCACACAGAGAGACTAAAGTTAGGTAGAATCATATTATTATAACCCTTTATACTGATGCAAATGGAAATGACATTTGTAACTTTCATTTGCTGAATTTCTTCCTGCTACATTCCAATTGCTGAGCTAGCAGATTAGGTAGCGGGCATTACTGCCAAACATGCCAATATTTCATAGATGATGAGGTTGATGTGCGGGAGGATGAATGTTTTGACTAAGGTCACACATGCAGTAATTGACATTTGCATTTTCAACCTGAATTTTTAGATTTGGTAATTTAAAAAGTCCTTTTCATGAAAATTTTTGATAAAAACCTTATAAAATTTGATTTTTTTCTTCTCACACAATCTCCATTATTTAGGGGAGCAATTTTTAACCAAGAATGCTTCTCTTTAGCCAAGGTAGGACTTTGTTCTTAAGGAAAAGGAATAAAACATTTATAAATGGAAATATAGATGGAATAAATTTTTAAAAAATGCAGGCCAGGCATGGTGGTGCACATCTGTAATCCAATACTCAAAAGACTAAGGCAGGGCATCCCTAGCTTAAGGCCAGCCTTAGGGTAAATAGCAAAATTTTCAGATACGAAGAATAAAAAACTCTAAATTTATTTCAAGGAAAATAAATATTACTTGATTTTATTTTTTATTTGGTGGTATATAAACATAAAAAGCAAAATAAAATGCATGTATTATATAAATTTGAAAATCTCTTTCATTTGCAAAAGAATATGTAATGGGTAATTTGAACTATACTTGGCCCAAAGGCAAAACTTTGAACCAGGACAGATGTCATTCATCCTTTATACTTAGCCTAAATTAAATTCATCCTCAGGCCTGGATCTGATGAATCCCTACACATTAAGACAAGTACCTATGATCAGGTTCGTGAATTACTTCATTCAAGGATGTCTTATTTTTAATAGGCTCAAAGGTCTTATTTTGTTTAATTTCAAGAGAATAAAGCTAAAATTCATAATTCGAATCACCAGCAATCAATGAGAAGCTGACTTGTGTTTTTTATTGTTTATTATTTCAATTTGAAAACATGTTTTCTCTTGTAAAATTATACCCATGATATCCACATGCAAGAGGGACATAAAAGTATATAAAAAGTATTGAAGTCATGTAAAAACGTCGTGAATATTTAGTGAGATTGGAAAGAAAGGGAAAATTGATACCTCTGGTTTAAGAAGAGAAGGTCTCAGAAGTTGCTGTTGCTGCCAAAGGAAATTAAAATAAAAAAAAGATTTAGAAAATAGGTCAGATGGAAAAGGTAGACAGTTATTGAGATGACAGGGAACAGAAGCAACAGCTTAAAGCTATTTTAGAATTATTTATTATTCATGTGACGGGTACCAAAAGCACAAATAATATTTTGAATAAGCCTGCACAGTGAAACATAGAACAATAAAGAATCTACATCTTAATTTCATCATCATTTTAACTAACATAAAATCTAATAACCTTAATGAAGAGGAATCTATGAAGAGTTTGTGTAAGCTCCATAGTACAGTTATTTATGCTTCTAAAAACAGTTCATCATATAATCATTTATAGCAAGTTTGAACAGGTTTCAAATTATTCTTTTTTATCTTTCTAACCACACAAAGTAAAATCATATCCATTAAGAAGGATAGAACACACAAAATGATATGGTTGTAATTTGTTCAAGATCATATTTAAGACATAATCCCCATTTCTCCTTCTTCTTAAAAGACTTATTAAAATAATCATTTGTTGACTTCATAATAATGTAGCTTTAACCAGATGAGAACAACTCATACAGTTCACATTCTAGGGTATGCCTTCTAAACTATAAACCACTTGGTTAATATACTTAACTCCTTTTCTTGACTGAGAAGCTGTATGCTAAATAAAAGTATGTTTTCCGTGACCTTTGATAACATAACTTCAGAACAGCCAGCCAAATACTATTTGTCAGAATGCTCACTGTGTTCTCTGCAGAGTCAGAGTCACAGTAACATCATAGAAAATCCATGCTTTCTAATTTCTGAATTTAAAACAAATTATTTAAGATGCTGAACAGTGAATAGATGGATCCTTGGACAGTTAAAAAACAAAATATAAGTAATCTTACAACTTTTAGATTTTATATTTATATGTTAGAAAAACAAATTTAGGGGAATATTGTAATACTGAGTAACTGTAATTCAGGACAAAAGAAATTTATCCTTGAAAATGTGAGCAATTTATCCTTCTTCACCCATTAAATATTAGATTTAAGACACCAAAGTGTAGAAACAGCATACAGAAAAGATACTAACATATGCTAAAAGTTTTGATTGAGTTAAAGGATAACAATCTGGTTTCAGAAGAATAATATTAGCTCTACCTATTACACAAATGATTGACTAGTAAGCCTGATAAGATACAACATCATAAAGCCCTTACCTCTGATGTATAACCTCTCCTGAAAGGCAGAAATAAAGAAATCAGTATTAAATATCTTGAATTTTTAGATTAGATAATCCTACAAATAAGGGTCACTTAAATAAATCTGGGAAAAAAATGAAATAATTTTTACTAAAAACAATCTCAATGGGAAATATGTTTCATAGCATTCTCAAGACAGGAAAACAAGGTTTCAGCCTAAATTACTGAAAACAATTACTATTGCAGAGCATCGTTTCATATGAACAAAAGAACCTAAAATGCCTATTTATCTAAATAGTGTATAATAATACACTTTGACTCTGTTAAGATCAGTTGAGATCAGAAATATTTTACATTATCTTTGTCCTGTAAACTTTTTGATACACACAAAATATTTATTAGGGAAAGAGATCTGTTTCTTCCATGAAGAATACAATAGGTAAAGGATGAAAAATTATCTCTGGAACTAAAATATGTTCTTCAAATGCTTTTCAGATGTTTTTCTTGTGTATGTCAACATGAATCTAAGAATATTGACTGAAAAATATTACAAGGGCCAATTACATTATTAGAATAAAAGGAAAAAGGTTTTAGAGATATAATAGTCAAATGTTAAAAAATACATAAAGATTAATAATTGTCCATGGAGCACAAGTTGGTGAAATATTTGACTGTATTTAAGAAAGATATAGTAACAGTACATTCAATGTGACTGTCACTAATTACAAAATGTTCTACTTATTATGAGTTTAATGGTTGACCCAAATTACTAAACTGATGCTGTTTATCATGCTGTATGGAATTAAAATACAACTGTAGTGAAGATTTGTTACAAAGAGATAGATACATAATTTTCTAAAGTCTAATAAAGCAATCTCTGCAGGATGTTTTTGAAATCGATTGCCTTCATAGGATAAGTCTAGTTATCTTAAAGTACCTTAAGTGGTGAACACATTGCTCAGCAAAGGTGTTGGTAATAAAATTAATATGATTTTACTAAATCCTGTCAGTAGTTTATTTTTTGAAATGGTTCTGTAACGAATTTTATAAAGAACTTATCTATTTCTGCCAATATTTTTGAAAATAATAGTCCTTCTAATGCCTTTAAAATTTTAGACATTCAACTCTTACTTAGTTTCTCTTTCAGAGATAGTAAAATCTTATTTATGTTTTAATAATGACAAGTCAAATTATATAAAATATCTGATAAATGCTCCTTTATTTTCTAAGATATTTCAACTGCCTCCTTTCATTAATAACATTTACCATAAATGGGGAAATAAAAAATATCAATAGATCAATTACACTTTTCATTTAACCTTTCTTATCTTCTGTTTTGTTACTTATATTGTTTGTTTCAGCTCAAAGGCAAAAATTAAAAATTTATATAACAGAATGAATATTAATAATTATCTGTGAGGTTTCAAAAAAGACTACAATTATAAAATGGGTCAAATAATACTGATACATCTTTTTAAGTACTTTGTATGAAATGATGTATATTAATTATTATTCCTTTAAAGCTTATGCATGCATTATATTTATTTTTAATGACAGATGCTTGATATCCTATCTTATGCATTTTAAATAAAGTATCTAATCAGTCCTCATTCATTAAATGAATTAACAAATGGAGAGAAAAAGTATTATTTTTCTAGTGGCTGGTTATCATTTTGTAGGGAATAGCAGAGGAATAGTTAGATTGACATATTCAAGTAATATTGATGGGTCTCCTATAGAAAACATTTAAATTGGCTTTGATTATGAAGTCAGAAACATACAATAAAATGTGCCAATAAATACTATGAGTGCTTCATTTAAAATGTATAAAATACAAATAAATGTTTACTTTATACAAATACTATTAAAATGTTATAGAAAATGGCAATATAACCATTTAGTAGGCTATAATTACTCGCATAAAAATGTTTTTTTTGGATTTCTTATATTTCTTTGTTCAGTAGTTAGAAATTTTCTTATCGAGAAATTCCAAGTTTCACATTTGCAAGAAGATGGTAGAAATTAGCTTAAAAGCCACACACACTCACATTAAAGGCTCACACAACTGTGAATGATACCTTGTCAGAGTCCGCCAAATAGCACAAGTTCTCATGCATATGACCAGCTGCCAAAAAAAAACTCCAACTGAAGTTTTTCAGTGAAAGAGAGAAAAAAATCATGTTCAAGGACCCCAAGAAAGACATATTCTTGATTTGGATGAAAAGAATCTGAAGCAGAAAGGCTAATGAAACTAATTAGATTCACAGATAGTTTTATATCTGACCTAGTTAATCAGGAATGCCAGATCAAATTCTTGAAGAGATGTCAGAAAATACAAGGGCTGAACAAAACTTTTGAAATGACACATTGCAGTGCTCTCAACCTATATGAATATACTTACAAAAGTAGCTATCAAGCTTAAGTCTTGCCTGAAAATTTTCAGGAATCTTCTGTGTAAGAAAAGCTATGATAACACTTTTAACTTATTTGTAACAGTCTGCAATTTTCCCGTAACAGTCACATAATACTAATTTGGAGCTATGTTCTCTTGTGCAGAATAATAAAGTATTTAAAGAGCCAGAATTAAATAACTGTACTTGTATTCAAAATAGGGATTTCCAGTAAATAAAATTTATTCTGTATGCTTCATGGGAAAATAAAAGAATTACTTGACAGCCAGACGTTATACACTACATGTTGTTTGTTTATATATAATTGTATATATAATGTACAAGTATGTAATTGAGCTAAAATCAAGCTCAGGTGATTGTGTAAGTTTCATGAAGAATGTAGGAAATAGTAATATATTAGTTAATATTAAGAATTTAAAAACTGAGCTGTAAGATACTGGGACAACTATCATGACAATAGAAATTTCTTCCTATAACAAGGAAGAAATTGCCTAAAACAAGAAGCAAAGGGCTACAAAAAATGGATGACATTCCATCAAATATAACCTCTCTTGATTTTTACTTAGAGTTATTGTATTTCACTTATTAAATTAGACATAAATATTTTCTTTGAAGGAGTACCTTATAAAAGTATAATTAAGGACATGGTATAATATTGTAAAAAGGTAAAATTAGATAACACTTTATAACTATGGGAAAAATGAAATGTCTTACAAAAGCCAACAACTTGAGATTTATTTGCATTATAAGGAGGAGAAGGAAAGCACAATGAGAAATTAATAGAATAAGACAACAGTTGCAAAACCCAAAAGATTTATCAAACCTATAAGCATACTAGTAACATAAAAATGAGCCAGAGGAAAGAATGCTCTTGTAAGAAAACAGATGACTAGATATTATAGCACCTGGGGTTTATTTTGAAATACCTTATGTCTGCCATTCCCTACAGTCTAAAGTACATTTTACTTTGGATATATTTCTTCTTTCCAAATTCATAGGCTTCAAGAAAATGACAGAACCTGTGGTACCACTTTTAGTTTATTTGTTAGAAGTATGCTTTTATTCTGGAACCATTCATATAAAACTATTACCAAAATATCAAAGAAAAAGTAAAATCAGTGCATCAACATGATAAACAAGCCTTTGGTTTAAGTTGGATTACTAAATTTCATGCCCAAATTTCCCCATTAAAAATAGATTAAAATTACTTACTTTTTAAATAAATGTAGGACAAATAACGCTATTTTGTAGTTAAGAAAGTTAAGGTAAATCTACTGCATGAGTTAGTGGTGATGATGTTAATAATCTTTTAAATTAAAAATGTGGAAAAAACATCATTGCATTGAGTTTGGGGTAAAAGAGTGAAACCTTCCTTGATGTTCAAATTTGATATTCAACTTGAAGATTTTTGGAGATAAAGGTTTTGCCAAGTAAATAGGAAAAGCAACATTACAGTGAAGTAGATTGACTGTGTGATTGTTTTTCAATTCCCTGGACATTGTTCAAATTCTCCTGGTTTTGTTCAGATGTTTCCACATTTGCTTTTTCTGAAGGGCAAACAGTTTGAAGTATTGAAATATTTGTGTGTGTATAGTTTTTCTCTATTTGACTGTGCATGTTAGACACTGACTTTTCAAGTTCTGCTAAATTTTTAATATGTCTGAGGATGTTTTTCTGTTCTTTTTGAGGGTCTGTTTTACACGCTTGTTTTGATGTTGGTAGCTGTGTCAAAGAAGACTTGATTTCCTTGGTAGGTGTAGTATTGGTAGTACATTTAACAACCTGTATATCAATATTCTCTGTGGGTAAAATGGAAGCTGAAGGAGGCAGTAGACAAGGAAGTGGAAGAGGTACTGGAGGAAAAGTAGGAAATGAAGATTGAAGAGGTAAAAGGGAAGAAGGAGGGGTAGTAGATGTAGGTACAGAATATTCAGGAGAAGGAAGAGGAGGAGGAGAAGGTATAGAAGGAGGAGAAAAGGAAACAGAAAGAGGAGTAACCACAAGAGGAGAATTGGACTGAGGAGAAGAAGGTGGGGAAAGAGATGGACAGATGTTAGGTTCACAGGACAGATTTTCAAAAATGCTCCTCTTATTGTCAATATCTGACATACAACTGGGTATATCTCTCTTAAAGATTACAGAATTTAAAATGCTAGGCCTTGGAGGAGAGAGTTCCAAGGTACAGTCAGCAGGAGAAGTGATGATGCTAGGTTCTGATTTGAGTTCCACACTTCTTGAAATAGTTGGCAAGGTGGAGAATGAGAAGTGAGACCAAGAAGAAAAGGAGGCATCTGAAGATAGAGATTTCAACTGTTCTGCTTCTTGTATGATCAGTGTTTTTCTTTGTCTTGTTTGCTCTGTTAGATTTGCATCTTCACTTGTAAGCAATGGATTGCTGCTACCTTTTTCCTTTGGATCCATTCCAAGGCTTTCACTTTCAGGTTTTTGCCTGGTGCTTTGCCACTGCACCAAGTCCATGGTTTCTGTTCTGTTTGGAACCTTCCATATCAGTTTCCTAGGTAAGCTGACTGGCTGTTTCCACATTCTGTGAATCTTTTCTCTTGGGTATCTCAGAGACCAACTCTTGACTTGTGTTTTGGGTAAAAATGGGTCTTCAAAATCTGTTCTCAGTAAAATGTCTGAATTTGCTGATTTTTTATCTATATTTTCTTTATAAAGGGGATTATGGACACTTAAGTCATCCTCATCAGAAAGAAATGTGAATTTTCCTGCAGGATTAGGTTGGTTGTTCTTAAGTGATCCTTCTATATGAGCTGGCTTGTGAGCCTCAATGGTATTGGAAGAAGAGGGCATCACAACTTGTTGAGTTTTCCTGTCTTCTGTGTCTGAGTTATTTCCCCTGCTTTGTTCAAAATGGTAGAGAAGGAAAAGACTTGAAAGAAAAGAAGATAATGAAACGTAAGGAAACAAATAGTGATAAAGCGTTCATGAGAAAGATGTTTCATGGTTTTCATTTCAACTTCAAAATAAAAAAAGCCTAACAATATTGATCTATTGAAACAAGACATTATTTTCTTGTCCCTATCCTCAAAAAGACAAAGCAGAAAAATCTTGTGGGTTATGAACAGCATGAGAAATTTTCATTAAAAAATATGCCAATCTCTAGAATATTTTTTTAGTTAGTTTGATACAGCAAAGTATCCACGTCTACACATGAACAGTTCATTCATGTATAAATCACAATTTTCCAAAGTGAAGACAAGCATCTTGGCTTTTGATTTCATGTCTCATGCCTTGCTCAAGGATGCTCAGAGGTGACTGCCTCTACTGAAAGCATTGGGCCCCTTCCTGAAAGTTTTGTAACAGGTAGTTTTAAATAGTTTTTCAGTTCGTTTTGTTCTCAATCCAACAGAACAACGTATTTAGGTTAGTAGTTATTCAAAATTTGTTCACTCAGGAGGAAAGAAAATAAGAGGGAAATATTTTGAATAAAGACTAAATAGCCAAGTTGAAAATTAGGGCAGTATGTTAGGCAATAAAATGATATATAAAGTTAAAGTTGTTAATGTGACATTTAGCAAAAATACAACTATTAAAAAAGAATTCTCACAGGTGGGCCTAGAGTATTAGGCCCATGTGAAAAATTTAGTAAGTGTGGAGAATTCGAAATAAGTATACATCAAACACTTTAATGTTTTTTTGAGCATGCAAAGTCATTTTTGAAATGTGTCACAAATCATTTAACTTGGCATTACATGGCCATTGTTTTGTGTAGATCTGTACTTAGTCTGATTTTTCTTGGAAGAAATAATCTATATAATGCTATCATATCACTTGTGGTTGAAAGAAACCTATAAATATCTTCAACCAATTAAAAACAAGGATAATTTTGAAATCCTTCTTTGGTAGGCACAAATACTCTTGCTAGGAACATTTTTTAAGCTCATGCCATTTCAAGGTGTGAAAAGGAATTTAGGTATGGAAGATACACGCCAATGATTCCATAGAAAAAGATGAAGATTACTGTATATACCATAAAACGGCATTTAATCTATCCTAATACTCTATTTTCTAATGCCTTTGTATTAGAATGATATTATTTACTTACTTATGCCTACGTATCCACAGGTGAGAAAGAGAAAACATGTGACAGAAAAAAAAAGTTTTAACTGCAGTTAATTCCAGATGATTATGAAGATGCTAACAGGAAGTAGCTTTAAACAGTTACTATGTATATCAAAGAAAGAAAATGCATGTTATATTTTCTTTGTTTTTGTTCATGACATTAATAATATTTTAGATAAAATTATATGGCTTTTATTTGGATATCCTACCACATAAAATTATATTTAGCCATCCATTTACTACACACATGTAAAATTCACTTCTAGGATGATTTCAGACATAGAAATTTTGAATGCAGCTAAGAATTGTTTCTATTGCAAACTATAAAAAATTAGTACACAATATTTATAAAGAAGTTATATTTTCTTTGGTAGAAAGTAAATAAGTACTATGATAAATATTACAGAGTAAATGAATCTATATGAAGTTATTAAATACTTTGTAAAGATTTCTTTCAAAATGATTTTTGATTTTTTTCCTATTAAAAATAATTGATAATAATTCATTTGAAGCTACTTTTAAAATTACTTATTAGAATTCTTATAAAGGTTTTGAACAGGTAAATATTTCTTAAAATTAGATAATTGGATTTGTAGAACTTATAAATGTTTCAATATATAGCCTCAAAATCTTCTACTAAGTCTGTTGTAATAAAATTCTCAAGTAAATGCAATCCTTAAGTATTGCTATTTGCAAATTACCATCACCAAACTATATAGATTCCAGATGATGTTACATACTATTCATGGGTCTCACATGTAAACACACTTCACTTTACACATAATACTTCACTGCTTTCTAAACATTGTTGCTAAAAAAGATGCTCAACTGAAGAGAATCAAACCACATTGGCTCAATTCCTACATTCACCAATAATTCAAAAAGACGACCTCATTTCCAGTTTATGAAAAAGTTAACACAACACATATTCAAAGAATGAGTCCTGATTTATTATTTAGAAATAGAATGCTATGCCTCAAATTCTAAGTTTAACTTCAGTGTAAAAATAGCATTAACATCAATTTTAATATTATTAAAATTAATCTAAACAGAATCTTGTGTACTGTTATTAATATGGCAAATAATGCATCTGTTTTTAAAAAGTTTATTCATTAAAGGTGAATTTCATGAGTTTTGAGAGTTGCTTTATTGCTACTAGTAAATACTACAAGTGTAACAGGTATATGCTTTAGACCTTCTACTTGACCAATTTCTAGTTAAAAGATTTCCTGAATTTAATTTCACTGTATTCAAATTTGGAAAATCCTTGCTTGTTGTACATGTCATATCCTAAAGTTATCATGAAGGAATGTTTTAAATATAAACAAATTAAACATTACCAAAATGGATCAGAGTATGTAGGTAGCATCATTTTATAGAAACAGTTTTGAAGTCTTTTAACAATACAATTTCTTTCAAATTCTATGATACAAAATTGTGTAGAAATTCCAAATAATGTAGGAGGAATGTTAAGCAATAGTAGCAATCTAATAGTAATGTAAATAAAATGATGCTTTGTTAGTCACTGGGCATTTAATATATGACTTCTTTATTTTCATTCTGACTTTAGATTTTGTTATATTAGGTACTAAAATAGTATCTCAGGAAAGACTGAATTTTAAGCCATAGAATTTGGTTTTGATTACCAAATGGGAGTTAGTCTTTATCTCAAATCAGTAATTAGCATTTTATGAATATGCTTTTATCTTATGTCCTATATGATAAAGAAATTTCGGAATCTATCATTTTTCAGAAAAATATCTAAGACCATGAAGGTGGGAAGATTAAATGTAATATCCAAACTATAAACTGCAATTGTATCCTGAAATAGTTTTCTCTTAGTTTCTGTAATTTTTTTTTGTTTTGTGGCTATTACTTTTCAACTTTACTTAGTTTCTCACCTTAACTGTTTTTCTGTTTTAAATAAGTAAAATAAATAGTCCAGTAGGCTGCATTTCCACATCTGGTTAGAATTAAACTCACCACACAGCATCCAGTAGAACACACCTATTCCAAAAGTGACGGGAAGGTCTACTTACATGGTGCTGTCTCCCAGCTCTTCATAGAGATGCGCACCAGGTGGCGGGGGCGGGGGCGGGGGCGCTGCCGTGGGAGCAGGGGCAGGTGCTGCTGGTTTGGCCGCAGGTAAGGCAGATTGTATTCGGGCTGTCTTGGTGCATTCAGCTTGGCGTCTTGGGTAAAGTAAGGTTGTCTTGTAAAACTTATTTTAGAAATCATATGCTTATCAATAGGCTATCTTTTAATTATTAGGTCCAGTTTTCAAAGAAACCCACTTGAAAACATTTCACACAAATATTTGAACTCACAAACCCATTTAAAGACAAAGGCATCCTCACAAAGTTTTACATTTAATTCCCTCTTCTTTCTTTAAAATATTTACTCCATGGAAAACGGGAAGAATTCATGGAAATATACGCAAATTATGTTAATTGGTAATATTAAAGTTAGAGTTAGATAAGATAAATATGTTCTGGTGTTCTGTTAATACATAGTGGGATTACTATAAAATATGATAATGCACTGCATATTTCCCAAAAAGTTAGAAAGGATTTTGAATGATTTCAAATGACTTATACATGTTTGAAGATGTGGGTATGCTTACAATATATATTCATATATTATATATATACATATGCATATACGTGTATATATGCATAATATACATATATACATTAATGTTACTCCATCAACATTTATATGTCAGTTAAAAAATTTAAAAATGGAATTTTTTAAGTGTGATGAATTATTGGTACTTGTTTAATGGATCTCTTTGATAAAATGAGGCACATAAAAGATAACTCTCCTTTATTATTTGTGTTTTTTGTGAAGTTATTTTCTTAAAAATTATTTTCATATTTTTGCATTACTTCACAAAGGCTGTATAAGTGTAGAACAGACATTTGGTTAGCTTTTATGTTGTTTTGATTACTAGGAATACCTGTGTTTCTTGCATTAGAATTAGACTGCTGTTTTGAATATGGACACTGATTCTTAATTCATTTCTTAAAATCAAAATCTCAAAGGTTAGAAATAATTATAACATGTTCCTCTTTCATGTTTACTCTAGTTATATCCAATTGTCTAACGTCAGCCTTATTTCATAAATACATCAAACCAAGAAGTATACAACTATAACAAATTCAAACAACATATAATAAATTGTTCTGGTGTACATGACTACTTCATCACTAAAATGGTGGCTTTGCTTTCTCTATTAAAGTTGTGCAAAATATTCATAATTATACTTACACTTTAAACCTGTTTGGAAATGAGCAAGAAAAGAAAAGGAGAAAGCAATATTAGAAATCTTGCACTCACAATGTTTTAACATATAACTTATTCTAAGTTTTCAGTAATTAAATGGCCAGACCCATAAGGACAGAATTAATGCCTTGGTAAGGAAACTATTTTAATTTGGCAAGAGAAAATGGGGGGCACTTCACTTTTTTCTGTTAGTTGTACAAGCTGTTAAAAACATTCATTACAAGAAATTTTTTAAAAACTGAACTAAGTGGAACAAGAAAAATTAGACTTAAACACAGAGACGTGAATTTTGAAACATGATAGAGAAAAGGAAAATTAAACATGATCTGACTTTTATAATTAGCTTTTTGGTTTACTGGGCTTGATGAATATTGAAGGAATGGAGTGAATCCTGCAGCAAGCTCTGATTACATACTTGACCGCACTCTGAAGCCTAAGCTAATATTCTAAGATGTCATTCTTGTCATCTTGTGTCTTATGACGCTTTTTATCATATTTGCGTTTCAATCCTCCATACATAGCAAATTTCAAAGATAGGTCATAATATCAAAGAATAAGCCATCCATTTCTACCTTATTTGCAGGCAGAATCTGAGTGTACACTTTAGATCTATAAATATTTGAATATTTCCTTGACATAGGAGCAGAGCAAAACTCAGTTTGTTTAATTCCATTAATCTATTAAAATCCATAATGAAATAAATTCATAGGGTATTGAACTGATTACTACAGAAAAAGACAAATATTGCATTAATATTTAAATATTAAGCATCTTAATTTTTTGTTAAATTTCAGACTGCTGATTTTAACATCCAGGGCTTTTCATTTTTGATTCTTATACTATGTCCCAAACCAAAGAATTTTTCACACTGACTTTATTAACAGCAGGATATAATAAAGAGTCTTTGGGTAATAATTAAATGAAAAGAGACAAATGGTAATACAGAATAAAAATGGACCTTGGTGTTGGATTAATGGGTTAATGATTTAAAATGACTTCTACAGTATTGTTTTGTTCATATATTACAGTTTAGTGTGTCCGTTGATTTGTTAAGGATACCTTAAAGTCCAATATATTAACCTAAATGTATTTGTAACTGTATGTTGCATTTGTGTTGAAAGTACCCGTACAATGTCTTCATGCATGGCATACTTTGGAAATTTCAGGTTGGAATTATCTTGCCATAGTTAATTCAAAAGAAAATTTTCAGTGTTTGAGAAGAAAGACAACAATTTAAGAGTATATAAAAGTGTCTTAGTTCTTTCCCTGTAGGTATTTTAAATGATAGATAGCAGTTCCACTATTATTTCTTACTGTTTGCTACATCAAGTAATTTATATGATTTATGTTGCCTGTCTTTTATTTACTTTATTTTTCTGGCACCCTCATGGCTACCTTCCTTCTTAACCAGCTCCCCATTTTTTTTCATTCATTGTCAATGGAGACATATTTAAAATGTGTAGTCCTCAACCACAAAGTCTGCTATCCTACCATCAAATCCAGTATATTCCTATCCTACCTCAATATAGCTTTTTTTTTTTTCATTTTGGTTATATTGGGGTTTGAATTTGGGGCCTTAGCAATTGCTAGGCAGGTCTGTACCACTTGAGTCACAGTGTAGCTATTAGCTATTTAAAAGAGTTATGTATTATAAATTGATTTGACTGTAAGAAATGAAAAGACTGAGGGTCTGTACAGCCCAAATACACTGTCAGATATTAAAAGGCTCTAACAAGGTTACCCAGGAACAAAGAAAACACATGGAAAAAATCATACATGGCACATTCATTTTATAATGATCTTGCAAACACTATGACCATCTGTGTGAAAGTAGATTTAATACTATGGACAGAAAAACTAACATGATAAAGTAGTGAGTTTATAGACCTTTCTTTGGAATTGGGAAAAATGTGCATCTAGAATAGGATATTCTATTGCTTTTTTGCCAGGCCTTTTCTCAGGGGACTCTTAATCCAAAAAAGAGAATAAACAAAGCCACTGAAGACTGCCTAATAATCCTACTAACCTGGTAGAAACACAGGAACATTGAGCTGTCTGTGAGAAATTTATGGAAAGTTTGCATTGCTTTTTCAAGGAGGGTGACTTGGTAAAAGGAGGATAAAGCATCACAATTTTGGAACTGCAAAGTCACATGACCATAGATGGTTTTCTGAAGGCCTTCCTGAGGAACTACCCATGTTTAACATCCTTGGATACTTACTGCCTGTAGCTGACTAAGACCACCAGGATGGCAGGAATACAGCACAGGATGATGATGAAAGCCAGAGCCAGCAAAGCCCCTTCCGTGTATCCTAGACTTTCTCCTCGCTTTTTAATGCTGGTCACTGCCTCTGGAGTCCGGATCTCCAGAATGCGTCCTCCTTCCCCATAATACGGCTGAAAGTCCTTATTGATATCAAGCAGCTTGCCATCCAAAAATCTTTATTGTTAGACAAATAGCAAAACTGATGTTAGAAGAGAAAGGTCCATTTTAATATAAATCTTTTTGTAAAAAGAATTTTGTAAAACGTTTTAATATTTTAATAAAAACAAAAACTGAATTAGAAGTATTACGAATAATAAGAAAAGAATGTAAAAAAGCACAAACAATAAAAGAGTAACTACACATTTATATACAAATATCAAAGATATTGACAATAATCCTTACTTGATATGATTTCAGACTGCAATAAACTAATTATCAATATCATTGACCTTATTATGTTGAGACATTCACATTATTATATTAATCTAATGGAGTAAAATATAATATCTTAAATATATACCATAATTTAAAATCATACCGATGCATTTCATCTCTTGTGTCTTTAGGATCTGTTTACAAAATGTAAACAGAAAACATTACAATACTGACTTGCTGCTGGCCACAAACCTGAACAATTAGGGAATCAAATCTGAGATGCCAACCAAATCTTCAGTCTCAAAGTCAATATTTGTTTTCCACCACACCATCTTAACTGTCAACAGTCTTAAATCTCAAACTAAAAAAATGTTTGATGGGAAAAGGGTGACTCAAAGTGGTCTTTTTTAAGCTTAGGGGAAAAATAGATCATATAAATGATGCAGATAGTTTATTGGTATAGCTGAAATGACAGGAAAAGGTGGCCAATGGAATCCCATCATTTTTGTAAGATGATTCTCATAAATACACTTCCAATAATGAGTATTGAATTGAATTCTTACAAGTTTTGATATTTTTTGTAGATGGTCTAGGTAGATAGCATAGGCTGCCCTTGAATTTGACATCCTGCTTCCACTTCCCAAAGGCTAGGATTACAGGCATATTTCCAAACTAGAAAATAGGATGTCCCCTTTAAAAAAAAACCTGCTGTTATAGATAAAATTGTACTTTTTTATAGTAATTTTCCTGGATCATTTTTAGATGTTAAAATGTAATGAAAATTTAGTCATTTTGCTTGAATTGCTTATGAGATAAGGAAAAGGATTCTAAATGAAGTATAGATTAAGACTTCTGTTAGAGGAACTATATTATTAAACACGGAAGAATCAGAAGGAGGGAAGAAGGATGATTGTGGGGAAAATTTACCCTTGCCACGTAGAAATCATTGATAGATCACAGTTTATTGGACTCTTGTATTTTATATCCAGATGCCCTAAAAACAATTGCTAGTCTTTTTGCACTAACACAGCCCCATTATTTAGATATTTGTTTGAACTTATTTTTCAATGGAAGTAATGTCATAAACAATTGTTTAGTACAAGAGAAGATCACTTTTGACACTAAACCCGATCTAGACTATTATTCTTTAACTTTGTACAAAACAATTTGCCTAGGTAAATGTTTCTTGAGTTTTTTTTTTTTCTTTTTGGCATTTTATTATGCAAATGAGATTAATTTTATGCTGTTATAAAAGAACAAATTAGCTAATTTTTAATAAGTTGATAGAAGATATGTGCACATGTAAAGTCAAAATAAGAGAAATCCACAAACACAAGGGGCATTTGTACTTACTCCAAAAATCTATGGATGTCCATAAAATAGATTGAGGACTAGTCAGGAGACAGAAATCTTCTTTATGGTGCAGAAATAAGAAATAATCATTTAAAGCTAGGGCACAAGCACAGACTATGTGATTCCCCAGAGATTTACTTCATACAAAGTTAGAGCCTTAGCTGGCAGTGAGTGAAAGGGGAAGAGCAACCATCCCTAGAGCTCAGGTGAAGGTACACTGCTTCTGGAAAAAAGTCATAAGCAAAACTTCACTACACCTGAAAGGAAGAAGAGCAGAAACTCCACCTGGGCCTGAGATTCCTCTGTACCAGCATGGAAGAGTAGCTGACAACTAGTTGGAGAGGGACAACTACTCCATTACTCCTAAGACAAACCACAACTACAGAGCACCATCTCAAGGCCCAAACAAGGCTAGAAAAAGGGAGCCAATGAACCCCCAGTTCACACTTCAACCGTGGATGCCATCAGAAACAAGTCCCAAGCAAGAGAAAGGAGCACTGTGGGTGAGATGTGAGTGTGCAAAGAAGCCTATTTATGGCACAGGCATGCAGGAACTTCCAGAACCTGAAGGTTGAGCAAAAAGACCAAGAAAACCCCAGTGCCCAGCCCTTGTTCTCAGAATCAGTGACAATATGCACCAAGAGAAAAATTAGACGTTTGTGGCACAGTGAAAATAATGATCACACACACAAAAAAATCCAATTTAACTCCTGAATAGATTTACTCAACAGAAGAAGGGTATATGCACTTATACGCATAAACTCTAACTTCTGTCCTTACTGTTCTTCCATATATCTGGCATCCAAGAAATAAGACACAAAAGGACTAGAAAATAATGTTCACAACATCTATTTCAAGAAATGAAATAGCAGAAACAGTCTGAAATAACCTAGGTATTGGAATTATCTGACAGAGACTTTTTCATAACTCTGATTAATACATTACAGAATCTAGTAGAAAGTGAAAGTAAAGCCTGAGCCCATAACGAGATTCAGAAGAGCATTGGAAATGATAGGAAAGAATCTGATGGGAATGCTGAAGATTTTGATTTAAATCAAGATGGAGAATTTTATCAATGAATTCGTCAATAGGCTCACACACATGATCCATGAACTTGAAGAGAGAGCAGTAAAAATTATCCAAACTAAAGCACAAAAAAAGTGAGGGATGTGTGTGTGTGTGTGTAGGCTCAGAACAAGAACAGAGCATTTAAACACTGTACATTTGAAATTAGAATCCCAGGAAGGGAAAATGAGTATAAAAATATTTGAAAGAAATATCCCTCCCCCAAGTGTAAGTTCTTGGCATCTTTGTTGAAAATCGTTGCCAGTAATCTAAGAGTTTACTTGGGAGTTTTGTATTCTCTCCCATGCATTTATGTGTCCGTTCTTTTATACCATATCTATGCTGTTTTTAGCTACTGTTGCTTTATGGTATATTTTGAAGTGAAGTAGTATAATGCCTTCAGCTTCGTTCTCTTTGTTCAAGATGGCTTTGTTTATTTGGGTCTTTTGTGGTTCCATATGAATTTTAGGATTCATTTTCTATTTCTATAAAGAATATCATTGGTATTTTGGTAGGGGTTACATTCTATAAGTAGATTGTTTGGGATAGGATGCAGATTATAGCAATATTAATTTTTATGTAAGAAGAATATTTTAAAAATGTGTCCAGAGCATGCAAATACAAAACAACAAAAAACAGATCAGTGATTGCATGGATTTGGGGGCAAGGAGACAGAAATAGGGAAACCTACCAATGGTTATGAATTCCTCTTTCATATAACAATGTTCTAAAATTGATTGTGGTGATGGTTGCACAAGTCATTGAAAAACAGTAAGAATCATTGGATTATACACTTTAATGGATGGATTCGTGTGGTATGTGAATTATATCTCAATAATGTTGTTTAATAAATATTTGAAGATATAATGTAAGAATTTCCAGGAAGAAAAACAATAATAACAAAAACAAAAACAAAGGTACAAGCAAAAATGGTGGATCCGATGAGTTCAGAGAATCATACAGAGATATAAACAAAATAAAAGCAAGGTGAAGTTATCACAATTAATGAATTCAGATATGCAAAAGTAAGAAAAAGCAAAATACCAATACGTTTGCTAAATAAAGTTACTAACATGTCATCAAAAGTCATTCCAGTCTACTCCATTCCTTTACAAGCTTTTTATTTTTTGATTTATTTAAAATCATTTTTAAAATCAAAGTGAATTTATTAGAGTGGCTATTACTATTTTTGTTTCTAATCTTCTGGCCTGAGATTTCTAAAATCCTTAGAATCTTAGATTTTGAGATAAGTGGAAATTGATCAGTATTTTCAGCTAGTAGCTCAAAAGTTCAAGATGAAAACTCCTAAGACAAAATTTTAATAATTCATGTCTACTTTAGCCTTTCTTTTTTTTGAACTCAGGGCCTACACCTTGAGCCACTCAACCAGCCCTTTTCTGGGATGGGTTTTTTTGAGATAGGCTCTGGTGAACTATTTGCCCAGATTGGATTTGAAACAGAATCCTCTTGATCTCTTCCTCCAGAATAGCTGGGATTATAGGTATGAGCCTGGCTCCTGGCCTCACTGTAATATAACATATTTTTAAATTTATCAATATTCTCTCTTGGCTTACTTCCAAACATTTTACCAGTAAAACATTTGCCAGTCCAATTAAAATTATAATCACCATAATTTTACTCCTTAATCCCAGATGAACCTAGTAAAAAATGGATGTTTTTATATTTAAGAAAAATAAATTAAATATAATCTCTTATCACATTTACAAATAAAACCAAACTAAGTCAAAGATGCTTAGTGAGGTGAATCAGTTGTAGAATGCCTGCCAAGCAAGCACAAGACCCTGAGTTCGAAGCCCAGTACTGCCAAAAGAATTATGTAAAAAATTAAAAATGCAGGTGGATTTTAAAAAAGAAGTGCTAATAATAGGCACAGAATATATGAATTACTTTGAAACTCTAGTTCTAAATAAACTTTTTAGGGTTGGGAATATAGCACTCGCCTAGCATGAGAAAGGCCCTTGGTTTGATTCTCACCACTACATGCAAGGAAAAAAACTTTATAAAAATAAAGCTTTTAAGCTAATGAAATGCACAGAAAAGTTTCAGTAGATCTAAATATTGCTTCATTTGGACAGTTATGATGCCTGAAATAGCAATTACCTCAGTCATTTGTACTTCCCCATAATGATGAGTATGTTTTCTTGAAACTAGCCCAAAAATCTATTAAAATAAATTGATGAGTAAAACAATAACTATGACTATTTTAAAATTATACTGATATTAAATCGCTATTTCACTATTGGTTAAAAAAAGAGCAGAGGAATTTCATTGGTGAACAGAATTAAAACTACACTAAATTCAGAATTTATAAACTTTAATAAAGCCTGAATAAATATTTATTTTCTGATAAATGTGCATACACACATTAATATATTTGTAAATTTAAACATGGAAATGTTGATATGCTGTTGGATATATATATAAAAATGAAACTGTATTCTGAATTTTCACATGCATTTTATGAAAATGTGTATATAAACTATTTGGAATACATACATATGATACATATCAACATTTTTAATTTAAAATATGTTAATTTTAAATAAATTATTCCAAGAGTGTGTTGGACACTAGGTGTCGCTGGAGTAAAGCCAAAAACACCAGCACCTTTTTTTTTTTTTAAAGGATTAAACAGTGCAAGAATAACATACACTGGAAAATATATAGCAGCATTTCATTTAAGATTCTGTAGTTTCTTTCTTTGATTTATAACTCAAATATTTAAGTTCACAGCAGGATGAAATTTCATATAGGGTATAGACTTAAAAGGGAGTGATTATTCTCTCTGCTCTCCACCCCAAGTCAAGGGAAAAATCAAGAACTAATTTTTTCTGATTCATTAGATTTGTAAGAAAGCTGCAGTTTCTCTTAGCATTTGAGCATACTGAAATTGTTTCAGGCAAACTACCACTTCAAGAATCTGAATTTTCCTCTCAAACAGACAGAGCAATGGAGCAAGAGTAAGGAGTCAAAAGAAACTGATCTCAAAGAGCTGATCCTTACTCATCAGTGTAACAGAGCTTCTGCTGCTGGTATGAACAGCACTTTTGAAATCATTCTAGCCCCAGGTTGGGCCTTAAAAGTCCATGTAATATTCCTAGGTTTGACTCTAAATTTAGTTTACAGTTTCAGCAACATTTTGATGAGTTTTAAACTTTAAGTACCTATACACATAGTCTTAAATTAGAATTACTTATAGGTGCTTTGTAACTGTGCAACTGCTATAGACAATAAAAAGCACTTACTTAAAAAGCTCGTTTCTGTCAATGGCTCTGTTTGTTTGGGGGTCGATGGCATAGACGGTCAGGTCACATTTGGTGTAATCTTCTAGAGAAAAGGCATCTCCATGGCGGCGAGCACCAATGGACTCCACCACGACCTTGGCACCAGGAATTTGCTCCTGAACATAGCGATCCAATATCCTATACATCAAACAAAGTGGAAAACATGACATTCTCATGGGCTTATTGGGAATAAAATATCACCTTCAACTTGAAACGACATTCACTACATGAACAATGATGGCAGCCTGGATTTCAGTAATGTTTATTGAATGTTAATCCTTGAAAAATTCCTATTTTTCTCAGTATTTAGCTCCCAATGATACTGTAAGCCAAATAAAGTAAAAAGAGGTCATCAACCATGTCCTACTTAAGTCTAGACATTTTGAATTTATTATACCACTTGCGTTTTTACATGACTCCTGGAATATGCCAAATAAGTTGTATAAATAAAACTGTCTATGCTTTAAAGTAGCCATTGGGGTCTTGGGACTGTTGATTTCACATGGTTGATGTCATAAATTACAGCTCCCAATCAAAATCTGTAATAATGGCAGCTAGCTATATTCTAAGGTGTGTGACTAAGGTACCTGTTTTCTTTGGTGCATTATAGCAATGAGAAAATGTAGGCACATTTTACAATGGCAAGTTTACAAAATAAAGATAAAAATATTACATATAAATCCCAAAGGGTATTTAGGTGAAAAAAAACTAAAAGACACAGCTATCTCATATAGAATAAGTTATATTCAATAGAAAAGACAGAACTAATGTTAACTAATAGGTAATTTTCTGGAAATTATATTTTCTTCTAATTTCACAATTTTATTTTAATTGAAACATGAATTATTACCATATAAATATCTTTAACATATTTCTACAAATGGAAATTGTATTCATAACCATTCCTTATTAATTTTTTTCTGTTATTTTCACTTACAGATGAATATTTGAATGCATATTAAATATTTGTAGTAATTGATGTATGACCAAATGAATAATAATTACTATATGTGACAGATATTTTAATTTTTTGAAACAGGGTCTCACTATATAGCTCAGTCTGGCCTTAAATTCACCATGTAGCCTGAGCTGTCATAGAACTAGCTGTTCTTCTACCTCAGACTGAGGAGAATGCTGACACTACAGGTATGTTCCAACACACTTGGCTCTTTTTAAATTTATCTGTAGATTCAGTGTTCCTTTTGGAGTCCATCTTTGAAAAGTTTTGGGGGGAGATAGTCACGTATTGTAAAATCCTTTGATACATCTTGAAATAAATTTTGCTTTAGATATCAAATTGACCTACCTATTAAAAATATATTGCCTAAAGAATTTGGTATATTTTTGATTTTCCTTTAATTCAAACATAATAAAAAATGAAACATTAAACTAGGTCATTCTTTCCCTTTTATCCCACCACCCACCCTCACTAGTCTCTTCATCTTATAGTATCTGTTTTTCTGACAAGATCCTTGCAGAAGGAAGAGTCAAGAAAACATGGAAAATAGAAAAAGAACTCTGAAAATACCACTTAACAGTTCAATGAAGCCTCCTTGGGAAAATGAAGAGAATAAGAGTGCTATGAAATGTGGACTAATTTAACTTTATTCAACTTAAATTTTAGGATATTTTTCCCTGAGAATTTGTGCTCACTTAAGACAACTAAGAAAAGGCTTGGTGAGGAATCATGTTATACTCTTGACATTCCATAGATACAATCAGTAACAACATGGCATTGATAAACATTGATGTTTGGCTTCAGTTTTCAACTCTTGTACTTATCAGTTGCATAATTATAAATTCTCAAAGCCTCGTTTTTTATCTCCCTATTTCATCTTCTTCAACATCTTAAGAAGAAAATCTGCATACAAGTTTATATTTTCAGAGTTGTAAAATATGAAATTTAAAATGAATGCACAGTTATCTACTAAAGTTACAGGAAAACTCACATAAGTGTGAAGTAGGAAATTTTTCACTCACCCTACAAATATTTGCTGAATTTCTCTCATGGACACAATACTGTTGTAGACCAAGAACATATCAGTGAACACAACAAATACCTCTAACATCAGAAAATTTACATGCAAATTGGTCAAGAAAATGAACAGATAATGAAACAAAATTGGTAAGGTTGTTAGGAAAATCATTGTTGAGAAATTGATATTTGAGCAAAAACTTTAGTAGACTATGATTTAGATGTTTTGAGCAAAAGTGTTTTAGGAAGAAAGAATTACTCAGTGCTGGTGCAAAACAATCTGATGTCATAGTGTGTGGCTGAAATACCAATACTTGGGGCAGGTCATATGGGGACTGTAAGGATTGTAAGGAGACTGTTAGGGTTGTTTATGGTGAAACAAAGATGTATTGCTGAGTTTTAAATATGGAAGTAATGTGAACTATCTTACATCAAAATGAAGTACAACATTGAGAATATGCTGAGAAGTGGGTGCCAGTAATAAAATTAGGAAATCTAGCCAGTACTGAATTTAAGGTAAGAACTTATTAAACATTTAGCCTACTCAATAATTTGGAGGAAAAGACAAATTCTAAATAGTGACTATGAGAAATACATGAAACATATAAGCAAGTTCTAATATTTGATTTACTATTATGCTTGGGCAAATATGTGCCAATTTGCAAGAGGTATACAATCTTAAAAACAAACCAAAAACTTGATAATTAACCAAACAAATATTATAATGATTCTAGGATAGTCTAGATGAATGCTACTTCTTTGTGACTGTTCATCTTAAGTAGGTTAATTTTTAAAGATAGTTCTTTAACAAAATGTAAAGGAGAGATTGAGCTTTACAGATCAATTAGGATGCTTTGTTATTTTCTTTGAAGTGTGTGTCTAGGAAGCGGTGACTTTTAAGAGAGGACAAACCTTAGTTCAGGTTACTTCCTTCTCCCACTTTTTGTACTGAATATGAGGAAACATATTTACTGAATGCAATATTTCTTGAGAAGCAGTGAAGTTTCAGAGATTTTCTACTGTGACCTGCTCATGTCTTGGTTCCCACTGACGTTCCTGCTCATATGACTTTCATGTCAGTTTTTTCTCTGGCCCCCCTTGATTAACTAGCCTACCCAAATAGTGGCTGCTAATTCATAATAATCTTTCCATTCTCAAAACTAGATGACCCTCAGTTTAGCGTCTTCTGTTAAAGTCCTATACAATATTTTACCCTACTTCCCCAATATCAGAGGGGGACTTTTCATGCATGACTTCCCATGCTTGGCCTTTTCCAATAAAAATTTATACTCTGATTGATATTTCTCCACAGTAGTTCCTCCTCTAACTTTAGTGAAGTATAATTGATATTCCAAAATAAAAAAAAACAAATAAAAACATGATGTATACAATTTAATATGCTTGGACAAATTTGTATATTCATGTTACCTTCACCACAGTTCAGGTAATCAGCATATCCATTACTTCCAAATGCTTCCTGGTGTTCCTTTTTTGTTTGTTTGCTTGTTTCTCATAGTAAAAAATTTAACAGGAAATGCACAGACCAATTAAGGATGGTTTGTAATATTCCTTGAGGATGAAGAATTTTAAATTCAACAATGCTTTATTGTTTACTACAAGTGCTATATTATATAGCAGATCACTGGAACTTATCATGTATAACTGTAACTTTATATCCACTGGAAAACAAATCCTCAAATCTCCTTCCACATTCTCTGATAATTATCATTCTATTATCTACTTCTATACTTTCAATCACTTTTGGTTCCTCACATATGAGGAATTATGTAATATTTGCCCTTGTTCTGGTGATTTATTTTATTTTATTTTTTAATTTTTATTTTATTCATATGTGCATACAATGTTTGGGTCATTTCTCCCCCCTTCCCCCCACCCTCTCCCAACCCCCCCTGCTCCCTCCCTTACACCCCCTTACCCCTCGCTACCCAGCAGAAACTATTTTGCCCTTATCTCTAATTTTGTTGAAGAGAGAGTATAAGCAATAATAGGAAGGAACAAGGGTTTATGCTAGTTGAGATAAGGATAGCTATACAGGGAGTTGACTTGCATTGATTTCCTGTGTGTGTGTGTTACCTTCTAAGTTAATTCTTCTTGAACTAACCTTTTCTCTAGTTCCTGGCCCCCTTCTATTTGCCCTTGTTCTGGTGATTCAGATGACTTATTTCACTTAACATTTACAGATTCATCTATGTTATCACAAATGAAAGAATTTCCTTTTAGGGGGAGGGGGATTAAATGATCTTCTATTATATGTATATATTTCTTTATTCACTTATGAGTGGATACTTGTGTTGTTTCCATA